TAACCTTTTCAAAATCCCTGAAGTTGATCCATGTAAGCAAAGACCCAACAACTTTATCCATATCTTCAGTTAAAATCAAGAAATATAAAGCAAATTCTTAAAAGCTTTTGTAATTGAATTGAGACTCTTAGAGTCTGGTCGCAGGAAGAAAATGTGGTAGAATATACATTTAAAAAGCAGTTGACATCTAAGCCATTTTCCTGTTTTCTTTATTTGGATTTCAGTAGCTTCTTTTGACCTTAATAATTAGCTTCTTTTGATCTTAATAGTTCTGAATTAGTATAATTCAACATGTTGGAAATTGAGTTATATTGATTTGAAATCCAAAGTTTCCATTATAAAGGTCATCTTTTAGGAATGTTCAGGAGTGTATGTTACACATATATTTTTTATTAATATTAATTAAAACAAATCAATTTATCATTTAAATAGCATAAGCAGATTCTTTAACAGGTATGGGAGGTGTTTTACCCTGTTGTTTTTTGGTGCTCCAAGAGTGTCTTTAGTTCTTCTTATTAACTTCTTAAGAATCATCTCCTTGGTTTTGGTAGCTGTCGTATTGGTGCCAAAATTTATTGTGGAGACTGTAATTCCTTTATTTTTGTTATTTTTAAATGAACTTTCATCAGTTCTGACTTCTGGCTTTTTAGTAGAATTATCTATGATGCCAAATATCGAAAAAAAACAAACTTAGAACACTTTAAGACTATTTTTGCTTTATTATAAAAATAATACGCCTATTATAAGGTGTCAAGAAATTTGAAAATTACATAATTTTACTGTATTGTTATCATTTTTCAAGAAATTATTCTGATAGAAGGAACACCTACTTTGGAATATTTCTTTACTTTTTCATGGTAAACAGTACTGCTTTGCAACCATAGCCAAATGCAATAGAACAAAAGCCCAGAGAATCCTCTATCCATCTATGCATAACAGACACGTATATTAATAACTTAAAATCTAAAAGCATCATGCAGCTGCACACCAAAGGCATCAAAATCAAGGCATATTCCCTGAGCAAAGATCATCCAGGGAATTATGTGGGATGGTGCTATGGCAACTTAAAAGTAAAAACAAAAACAAAAGCCTCTTCTGGCAGGAATTTTGTGGCCTGGCTTCCTTTCCATTTCACAGTTATCTCTGGGCCACCCCATCTTTTCCCATTGAGAAATGGAGTTGCTGCTCCCAAAACTACTGAGTCAGAATTTTCAAGGATGTGGTTCCTGAAACGCCACATTTCTAATGTATGGCCTGATTTGAGAACTCCTAAAGAACCATAACTTTTCTATTGTCCTATGTCTAAAAGCAGGAAAGAATAGAGAGATACTGCCTTCAGTTAGTTCTGGACTTACTCTATGATTTCACTGATAAGCCAGTTATCAGCTTTCTGGTGAGCAGATAAAATACTCCTCTACCATAACCATTCTACCTTATGAGTAAGGTAGAACAGTTTGAGAAGCTACTGAATATTTTTCAGGACTTTTTATTTTAAATTACCAATTAAAATCCTCATTCTGAGATTTGTGAATGTAAGAAATATAAATATAAGAAATACATATGAATATAAGAAATACATATGGTTGAGATAGAAAAGTTTTGAAACTGTACTATACTACACATACCTAGACTTCCAGATGCTGCCTTATGAGTTTCAGAAATCAAGATGCTGATATTCTGTTTTAGGCTATTGGAATAAAATGTTTTAAGGATTGAAATTTAGTTTATTTACCATAATAGCTGTATTAACAAAAAAGATCAAAGTAACAGCATGTGATTGATTTTACTTCTATTTCCTACAAGAAAACAATTTCGTTTTCTGTTTGCACTTTTACAGATAAAATTAGTGTCACCATTAGAACTGATACCAAAACTAACAAAATATGGGCTTACTTTCAAAAACAAACTGGGAAAATTCCTAGGATGCCAGACTATTAGGTATTTTCTCTGAATAGTAAGCCATTACCTCCCTTGTCCCTTTATAAAGTGCATTTTGCCTATGGATCACTCAGCAAAACATCCATTCACCTTTATTTTGGTGTTGTTTCTAGGTGTTTGTTTTCTTATGTTTGATTGAAAATAGTTATTTTTCTCTATTGTTAAAACCCACTTCAGTTGAAATATTGAGCACACAGTAATACTTATTTTTTTCAGACTCCATTATTTATGATATTTAGATAAACAATGATTCCTGGCCAGGCATGGTGGCTCATGCCCATTATCCCAGCACTTTGGGAGGCTGAGGTGGGAGGATAGCTTGAGGCCAGGAGTTCAAGACCAGCCTGAGAAACATAGTGAGATCCCATCTCTACAAAAAATACAAAAATTAGTCAGCTGGGCTTGGTTGGTGGTATAAGCCTGTAGTTCCAGCTACTCAGGAGGCTGAGTCAGGAGGATCACCTGAGCCTAGGAGTTTGAGGTTGTAGTGAGCTATGATGATGCCACTACACTGTACCCCAGGCATTAGAGTGAGACAGCCACTACACTGTACCCCAGGCATTAGAGTGAGACTCTCTCAAAAAAAAAAAAAAAAAAAAAAAGAAGAAGAATTCCTATTGTATTAATTTTTTTCTTAAATGTTTCAAAAATTATTTCTCTGATTTTTAAGGCCTTATTTAAGCGTGGTAGGATACAATTACAAAATCATTAGTGTACTATGTACATGATGGTGGCTTGGACTAAAAGTAGCATTATAAAAAGAGAAATAGAGGAATTCAAGATTTATATGAAGACAGATCAGACTTGACTAGAAGATTGGACGTGGGCAGGGAAAATGGAGACCCAGGTGTTAGGAGGAATCAGATGGGCTATTAGAGATAGATGGGAAGAGAAAAGGGGGAAATTCAGGAATGATTTCCAGAAATCAGGCTTGAATCAATGGATCTCATTTGTTGAGATCAGAAACACTAGAAGAAGGATAGGTTTGGACGAGAAATCAAGAGTTGACATTTATGAGATATCCAAGTATATATATGACATAGAAAGTTGGATATATGAATCTAATGATTCATATTCATAGAGGAAAGGTCTGATATGGGCTTCTCCACAATTCCATCTTCTTCTCCAATTCAAACAATAGCAGCCTTCTCTATTTTAACAGAAATAGAAATAAATTTAAAAATTTGCACTTTTTATTCACAAAATTTGGATTTCTTTTTTGTTCTTTTTTTCTTCAGGAAGAGATGGACAGAATGACAGAGATAAAGTTCTTTGTCAAGAGCATTTTTACATTTGATAAGAAGGACGTATATTTCTAAGGCAACAAAACCAATATAATAGAAAACTTTACTGGTATGTTTTAGGTGCATTTTTCCTGAAGAAAAATAATTTATAGCTGCATTTTGTTATGTAAAAAACATCAAGAATTTAAATTCAGTTATATTTATATTAATGTAAGAATTTCTCACTTATAGGAATGAATCTAGTTATTAATACTTTGGAAAAGTAAAATCTGAATAGACCAATAATAACAGATTGAATCAGTAACAAAAAGTCTCCTATCAAAGAAAAGCCCAGGACTGGATGGTTTTATGCTGAATTCCACCAACCATTTAAAGAGGAATTAATGCCAATCCTTCTCAAACTCTTCCAAAAAATTGAGGTGGAGGGAATATTTCCAAACTCATTTCACAAGGCCACCATTACCCTGATACTAAAGACAGAAAAGAACACTACAAGAAAAGAAAATTATAGCCAATACCTCTGATGAACATAGATCCAAAAATCCTCAACATAAGACTAACAAAACCAAATTCACCATGATCAAGTGGGACCTATCTCTGATTGCAAGGATGGTTCAACATACAGAAATCAGTAAGTGTGATATAGCATATTAACAGAACGAAGGACAAAAACTATACAATCATCTCAATAAATGCAGAAGAAGCATTTTGACAAAATTCAACACCTTTTCATTAAAAAATTTTCAACAAATTAGGTATAGAAGGAATGTACTTCAACACGACAAAGGGCCATATCTGACAAGCCCACAGCTAACATACTCAGTGTCAAAAAGTTGAAAGATTTTCCTCTATGATCAGGAACAAGACAAGGATGTCCACCCCTACCACTTCTTTTCAACATATAGCAGTGGGGAACCTGTGGCTCTGGATCCTTGAGTGTGGCCTTTTGACCAAATCCAGACTTCACAGAACAAATCCCTTTATTAAAAGAATTTGTTCTGTAAAATTTGGATTCGGTCAAGGGGTCACAAGCCAGAGCAGTTAGGCAAGAAAAGAAATAAAAGGAATGCAAATAGGAAAAGAAGTAGTGAAATTGTCTGTGTTTGCTGACAACATGATCTTGTATATAAAGAACTCTAAGGACACCACCCAAAAACTGTTAGAACCAATAAATAAATTCAGAAAAATTTCAGGACACAAAATCAACACACAAAAATAGTCACATTTCTAAAGCTAACGATGAACTATCTGAAAAAGAAAGTAAGAAAACAATCCCATTTACAACACTACAAAAATAGTAAATTTGATCTGAAGGTAAAATATCAGTATATTGAAAACTATAAAACATTGATGAAAGAAATTGACAAAAACAGAAGTGTAAATATATCCTGTGTTCATAGATTGGAAGAATTAGTATTGTTAAAATATCCATACTACCCAAAGCGATTTATATATTCAATGCAATCTCTACCAAATTACAATGTTATTTTTCATTTTTCCTATGGAACACAAAAGACCCTGAATAGCCAAAGCAATCTTGAACAAAAAGAACAAAGGCTGGAGGCATCACATTACCTGATTTCAAAATATATTGCAAAGATATAGTAATCAAAACAACATAGTACTGGCATAAAAACAGACACGTTGACCAATGAAACAATATAGAAAGCCCAGAAATAAACCCACCACTATGGTTAATTGATTTTCAATAAAGGTGCCAAGAATACACAATGCGGAAAGGATAGTCTTTTCAATAAATGGTGTTGAGAAAACTGGATATCCACATGCAGAAGAATAAAATTGGACCCTTATATCATACCATGTATGAAAATCGACTCAAAATGGATTAAAACTTAAATGTAACATCTGAAACTGTAAAACCTCTAGGAGAACACATGGGGGAAAAGCTCTATGACATTGGTCTGGGCAATGATTTTTTTAGATATAATCCCAAAAACATAGTCAACAAAAGCAAAAATAGGCAAATGGTATTGTATCCAATTAAAATTCTTGTGAACATCAAAAGGAAAAATTAACAGAGTAAAGAGACAACCTAAGGAATGGGAGAAAATATTTGCAAACCATACATCTGTTAAGAGGTTAGTATTCAAAATATACAAAGAACTCAACTCAATAGCAA